AAAATGAAATGAATTTATTAAACAAAGTAACTAATATTAACAAAACAAAATGTCCATAGCAACTGGAAAAATTTAGAGAACGCTATTTTCATACTGTTAACTGAAAATTACGTCAATTACTGTCACGTGTGGAGATATTGTTTTTATTTCTGTGTTGACGGATTCAACTATTTTTTTTTATTTCTTGATACTGTTCTGTACGTTTGTTTGAGAGAGTAGTAATTCTGTTAAAAAGGTGAAATAGTGAAAAAGCCTGTACGTAAATTAATATTGCCTTGAAAAATCCACATCGGACAAAACTTTTACAGTTTTCCTATTGTCTTTTACATTTTTAAATATTGTCTTTTTCTCCAGGTTAACTCTGAGAAATTTTTTATATATATATATATATATATATATATATGTGTGTGTGTGTGTGTGTGTGTGTGTGTGTGTGTGTGTGTTGTGAGACCGTAACATACCTACAACATGGACTCTTCCAGGACTATATAAAGTATGCGACATAACAATCTAGAGAGAAGAAGAAGAGGAGGAGGAGAGAGAGTATTCTAATACCGTAGTATCAGCCGCGTACGACTACCAATATTGGACACTAGCACATAGTAAGCTCCGCTTACACTTACACTATTTTTGTAACCCTTTTTGCTTAATATATCTTTCTTACCTCCAGTCCGTGTTCCGTGTTTTCCTTCCGTGGTCCAAACTTTGGGCCCACATCAATATATTAAGACATTTTTCTATGTTTATATGTTCTTTTTATAAAAAAACTGTCTTAAAATAATTGCCGGACTTTCCATTTCATAATATGCATATGCATATATATATATATATATATATATATATATATATATATATATATATATATGTAGCCAGTTCAGTAATGACACTATATTGTTAGACGGAGAGCATCTTAGACTGAAGTCAAAGGTCAATGTGAGGAGTTCCGTTAATAGATTCAACAGTTATGTGTCCGTAATCAAGGTATTCTTCAATTTGGAGGACATAGACTCTGGATTGATCTGGGGAAGAATGTTTTCCTCTACGTTTGTTTGGTTAAAAACACGCTACGCATAAATGAATACCTCTCCGGCTTTCACCCCAAATACTTTGTTCAAGTGCTCAGCATACGGTCATGAGACTGATGGTAAGCGATCATGTACATTTGAAAATATCTCTCAAATTACAAATAGTTATTGGCTTTTGATCATTCCGTGAGGATAAAGTGAAAAATATTTTTTTTTTACTAAGAACCTTATAGAGTCGACCTCTATATTCACCGAGACATCTGGAGCGGACTTAATTCATCTTGGAAGTGAGATAATGGCCTTTCAGGTCGAAATCTCATAATAATTATCGCCTCCACCAATGGTTCGATTATCGTCTGTGTCTTCTGCATAACAAAGATAAACACGTTTGTCGTGAAGATGAAGCAATTTGTTGTCTTGGTAACAACCAACAATGGAGCCATGATCACGCAGATGAATTAAAAGCAATTAAAAGTAACAGATGAATTCAGGGGACGAGGAATTAGTAGGAGTAATTAAATTTAGCGTATTAGAATAATTGTCTCTCCGTCGTGCAAATGACCCATGTTTGAATCCTGAATATGACTTCTTGAATTATTTGGCGTCAATTAAACCTGAGGGTTTCTTACATTATTCCGATTTAGCTCATGCGATAGAATCATATTCACTAAGCCTTCAGCCCAAAAGCTCACTAGATACCAAATAACTAGAATTTGTTTATTGGATTTTACTCGTTATTGTGGAGGCACGGTGCAGTAATGGTTAGCTGCTCGAGTTGAGGAATCTGAAAACTGAGTTCGAATTCCAGTCAATGTTCATTACATTCACTTACCTGTTCATACTACCTTTTCTTTGTAATCTCTGCCTCGTCAGGCAAAAGCTAGAAGGTAATATCTGATAAGAGGGACGAGGTAACAACAATATCACCATTGCAAAAGGAACCTGCAAGCCATTGCACTATTGTTCCTTAAATGTCATTTAACCACGACTGTTAAGTGCCGACGTGTGGTGGCCACAGCGGCGCAAAATGCGCTAACTGAATAAATATGGCTTTAAGTCATTCTTTGAAATTTACCTTCAGATTAAATATCTGACAGTTTCTACTGGAGATTACGTTTCTTTATTTCTTGCCGATTTCGTATTGTAGGTTATTTTGTAATTAAGACATTTCTTTCAACATTCTCATCATCATAAATCCTATGACCAGTTGCCATTGTAGAGTTACTGTGCATCCGAGCACTTGTCCGGCTCTCTCGATTTGTTGTGGTTGTGAGCCAATTGATCTGTATGGAGGATCTTTCAGTCTTGTTAGTGAAAATTTCAAGTTATTTTTCATCTGTCCCCCGTTTTTCAACTTTTGTGCCTTGGGTGTTACCTTTTAGAATAGCAGTGGAAATATTGCAGGCTTCTATAACACGGACATAGAATTTCAACTTTCTCTTCTTGGCAGTGGAAATGAGACCTCCAAAACCTACACATATTCTTCCACGTTATTTTAATTCTCCCCCTATTGTCACTTGCATCGCGTAAGTTTCAAGGACACCTGAAATGATCAACCCGTTAGAGCACTATTGAGTAATCAGGTAATTTGCATTGTAATCCCCGCACTCAGTTTCTAATAAAAAAAATTCCCAAATATTTACATTTAGGTGTAAATGTACATGCTTCATTCGAAAATAAATAAATTTTGATAGAATCTACCGTTTTGGAGTTATCGACAATAAAATTTCGAACGTCAGCCATTACTAGCGTTGTTTACATACGTTTGTCGTGATTTAGTCATGCGTAGGAGATTCACTTGTCCACCCAATGCTCAAGCTTGGCGCGAAATTTAAAAAGCGCATGATTATTTAATAAATAAATAAAAAAATCTTAGAAAGGAAATTATAATAATAAAAAAAAATTTAAAAATTAAAAATTTTTTAATTAAATTTTGGAGTTTTATAAAGCATTATTATTCAGTACCTTGCAATAAGATTTTATTGTTATTACAATTTGTATTATTATTTAATTAATTATTATTAGTTTTATAATTTAATTTTTTTATTATAAATAAAAAAGACACATGTCATTGATTTTCTAAATAACTTGAACAAATTGACCAAAAACCATAACCCTCTCCTTAACATTTGAGCAGTAATTGAAACGAGTAGTAAGATCTGTAAAAAAGACGTAACTAAGTAAGGTTCCGCGCATGACTTTTTCGAGGCAAATATATGTAAACAACGCCAGTAATAGTGCAAGGACCCACGCGAAAACAGTACATTTTAACAAAACTTTGTTATTTTCGAATTAAGCATGTACATTTACACTTAAATGTAATGTTCGAGAAATTTTAACTAGAAACTGAGATCAGGGAGTCCACTGCAAATTACGCGAATAATCTGGATCGAATAGTGTTAAATAGAGCAATTTTCTTGTTATCTGGTGGTGTGAACTGGACTCGAGTCTTCAGAAAATATCTACGGTTAGAGGTAAAAACTGAAAAAACGGGACCTTGAAAAAAATAAAATACGTTGGTAAACTACGGAAAAGAAAATCAAGGCGCACATGATGACGTAAATATATATATATATATATATATATATATATATATATATATATATATATATATATATTGTGTGTGTGTATTTAGGCAGCATCTTTTCATTCATACACGTTTCATTAAATAATATAGACAAGTGTTGTCTATTTATTTTATGTAATTTTTTTTTCATAACGTCTGATATGTTTAATAACATTATCATTGAACGAAGAAAGAAATTCACAATATTGATCCATATTTTTTAATCCAATATAAGCTGTCGGCTTACTTAAGCCATTATCAAAGATGTCAATTACAACATATTAAGCAATATAAGGAAAATACAGTGATGATATTCTGTCATTGTTTACATTGATGATTTCTAAGCAACGATAAACACGTGCATATAAGACGCTAGAAGCGAAAATCGCACCGCATCTCATGACGTCACACATGACCACACGAGAGTGAATTGGAGAAGTATGAAGTATGGGAAGCCGTTGGTATAAACCAATGGCTTCTGTTACCAATTATAGACATTTAAGGATATTTGTAGAGATTCCATAGTTGATTTTGTTTAGGTTGGGTTTCAACTGTTTGATGTATAATGCTTCAAGGATTTTTAATTTTTGTCTATTGTTTTCATGTTTTATTTAATGAAACGTATATATATATATATATATATATATATATATATATATATATATATTATAAATTAATTGATTTAAAATATTTTTTTTTCGCTGTTGGTATTAGGAATGTACTTCAGAGAAATTTCGAAATTTATTTTCTTCTTGTTAAAAATAAAGATTTAGAGTGCTCGACTTTGATTAGGAGCCAGTGTATCTATATATAAATAAAAAGGAAGAACAGTAAGATATATAATCCGGGGTTCTTATAGATATTTTTATTTTTACAAAATAGTGCTCAATGTAAATTTACAGAGCATTAATATTATAATATTAATTTATCAATTATTAATTTATAATATTAATGCTCCGTAAATATACATTGAGCACTATTTTGTAAAAATAAAAATATCTATACTGGATTATATAACTTACTGTTCTTTATATATATATATATATATATATATATATATATATATATATATATATATATATATATATATTTCCTTCGTATTTGTCGAGAGTGGAATCGAGATAGCGAAAAGAGAGACAGAGACTGAAAAAAAGAGAACAAGTTGATATGGGGAGAACAAAATTGTAAAAGAAACAGGGAGAGCAAGAAAGGAAGTGATGAAAACAGTGAGTGACAAAGAGAGACAAGAAAACCCAAAGAGAACGATACCGAAGAGAAGAGAAAGACGCAGAAAGGATGGAAGAGATAAAGAGAATGAAAGGGAAACGTGATGGAAAAAAGAGTATAAACGAAATAGCGAGAGAAGAAAGAAAGACAAAAAGAGAAAGAGTTAGAATCAGATGGAAGAATCAGAGCGCTAAGGAGAGACTAAAAGAAAAGAATAAAAATGCAATCGAGAAAGAAAGCAAGTGTAACAGATAGCTAAAGGAAAGAGAAAGAAAGAAAAAAAGAACGAAAGAAAGAAAGAGTGATGTAGAGAAAGGAAGACCTAAAAAATACAGAGATAGAGAAAAGAGAAACAAACAGAGAGAAAAAGAGAGATAAAAAGAATAAAAAGAGAGGAAAAGAGAAATCGAGATAAACAGAGAAAAAGGAAACATAAAGATACAAAGACAATGAAAGGCCGAGAGAGAAAATGAGATGCAGTGAGTTAAAGAGGGATAGACAGATAAAATGAGACAAAGAAAAAAAGAAAGAAAGAAAGAGAAAAGAAAGAATGAAAGAAAGAAACAAACAACGAAAAAGATTTTGTTTAAAAAATAACACGAAACGGAGCAGGAGTGAAGACTATAAAATATTTGTTTAACCCAATGTGGGTGTATCTGTGATCCTCTTCGTCTTCCCTCCATTTATCTCCTTCTATCTCTGGGGATGGTCTTTTCAAATAAATTGTGTTTCGTTTTTCTTTTTCCTGCCAGTCTTAATTTTGTCTTTCCATTCATCAGAGGCCATGATTCAAATTTCATTTTATCACTGTTCCAATGCTACGACAGGCTCCAGCAACATCGTTCTATCCGACGCCATATCTTGTTACACCTGAACTGAGAGATCCATTTAGATTTGAAAGTTTCGAAGAATTTTATTTTGTTTTCTCTTGGTGTGTATATGTGTTTTTCAATTTCAATGTCCAATCTCAATGTTCACGCGAATCATATTGTGCTTGGTCCAGGTTAATAAGCAAGAGAAATTCTCCTCAAATTCAACGAACATTATCATTATCACCACAGACATCAATACTATCGCTATTTCAGCGTTTCTATTCTTACTGGAAACCATGGTTACAGTCGCTCAAATATTAATAAATAATAATAAATAAATAGTCTGCAGTTTGCATCCACTGAAGTCGGGTAATGTCTCCAACAAAATGTGGGTAAGGACCGATAAAATGCCTATGATTCAAATATATTTGACCGATATTAAACTGATACTTTATTCAAGTACATGTTGTATTGACTCAGATATAATTTCCCAATATTTAACTATCCCTGAACGAAATAAGTGACTATGGACTCAAAGGTAAACGACTAATATATACCTATTTTTCGTACAAGTACATGCTGATAGATATAAATATAAACGAGCGATATTTAATATTCCATAAATAGACCCATGTGCAAATTAATTGAAACAGCCGCTTTAGTTTCCTTTCTTTCACCATACGGTCAATTTTAGACCCATTGGAGTGACAGGGTTTAATTGATTTCTATTAATTCCTTAGATTAAGTCCTTTGCAGTGGTGTGCAGTAATATGGATCTATTTTCGTGGTGTATGATGAAATTTGTTTGCCCTTAAAAAAATATTGTATTACCCGTGATTGCATTAGATTTTTATCACACCTAGACACTATTGTCTAGACTGTCGATTAGTTGTCTTACGGCAATATTCTGAGATGGACGTTGCTCCAAGGAAGCGTACGAAAATCGTAACACTGCATGAACACACTGGCATGCATTACTAGTGAGCAAATCAAAGTACTCTAGATTGACCCGGAAACTCTCCTGATTTAAATCCAATCAAGAATCTGTGGTCAATTTGCAAAGAAAGATTTTGTGGAATGGACATACTATGTACTACTAACATGTGCGCTTTTCATTGGAAAAATACGAAAAACGAGTAAATAATAACGGAATTATTCGTTTTGTTTCAATTAATTTGCACGGAGAAAGACAGATTTATATATATATCCCAAGACCAAGTAAATGCTTAAAGACTTAAGAATAAAAGGAAAATCTTTAGCTATGCCCGGTCCCTGTTAATTGTTATAAGCATGAATATAAACGACCAATGTTTATTTATCAATGAACCAAATAAATGCATATAGATCTACATAGATTAGCAATATCTACTAAACAAAATCAAAGCTTATAGATTGAAATTTGAAGCAACTAATATTTGCCGATTGGGAAGCAAAGCAATTGCTTATAGACCCACTTATAAAAATGCAATATCTATGTCTATACTATCAATAATTTCATGTCCCATAACCTAAAACGAGGCCTGATGAAAGGGTTCCAGACTGTAGCTATAGTAACGGAGCTAAATTACGCAGAGTGAGGCCGCGAATTCTGTTGCGCATGCACACTAAACTGTAACGTTCTTGCTCACTTCCCTTGTTTCTAGCAGTGTTTGGAATGACAGTGTTTAGAGTGCAAACATTTCACACATCATGGAGGGTCCATCAGTGATCATGGTTATAAAGTAGTTTTTGACCGAGGAGAGATTCCCAAAATCCAACAAACCCCACAGCGAGATTTTGCCCTCTTGTGACTCTTTCCTCTTCAAAAATCAAATCTCGTTCTGAAAAGTACAAGATTTCAAGACGCCGAAGAAGTCCAAGAGAATGCAAAAATGGGGTTTTAGTAATTTATCAATAGAAACGATGGTAGATAAAGCCTGCTGCCTCAGATGGGGACTATTTCGAAGGAGATTAAATGCCGAATTGATACGTGTTGTAGTTTCCTTTGCATAGCACTATTTTCGATAATTTAGACACTAAGAAACCCAAATATAAGTATCAAATTTTTACCTTATCCCTTGCAAAATGACTGAAATATAAAATACCAGTATTCATCTCTCCTCGAACCAAATAAATATTAATAGAATGATAAATTAATCTTATTCTAAGCCTTCCCACGCTTTAGGAGGATGCCTTACTTGGTTGACTATGTCTTCAGCATGCCGTACTCACCACGATTGTCCAATGGCCGGATGATGAGACTACACTTGTGGCTTTTGAATTCTCATAGACAATTTTAACGTTATAGTAAATTTTTAACTCTTTGTAATCTGCGAACATTTTTTTATTATTAATTATTTTATTGTTGGTTGTTTATTTTGTCATTTATTGGTTTGGATTAATTCATTTATCACTTTATTTATTTTTATTTATTTTATTTTATTAAACCGTGACACCATGAAACCTATTAATAATTAAATCCAGAGGGTAACTGAAACATTTGACACAGAGTGTATATCTATATATATATATATATATATATATATATATATATATATATATATATATATATATATATATGCACAGTAAATATATATATATATATATATATATATATATATATATATATATAAACTATATATATGTGTCTGTGTGAGTTTGTGGTTACATTTTATGTGGCGTATCCTTTTTTTGTTTTCGATTGTCAATATTAAGTTTTCTGATATTCGTTAAACGATACTGACAAAATTGACAATAATCGAATCTGAATGGATATTTCTCTTACCTCACCAAGATGACAATCCTTCATAAATATTCCAATAGGCACAGATACGCCAAAATATTATAACCAGAGATACGTGGAAGGAATAAAGTGCATTGTCTCGTACTCCTTGCATATGCTAGTGTCAGCAATGTATCAATGCAGATCATCAGGTTTCGAATACTTCATTTTGCCTTGTTTGTAACCTCCAATAATTTCTACGGAGACGGATTTGAGTGGCTTTACTTAAATCCTAAAGGTATTAAGATTGCAACTACTACGTGATCAGATTCACGAACTGAGGCATTATCCCACTCAAATATTGTATCGTAGAACGCGAACATGTTTGACCCGTAATCAAATAAACAGTTCAGTGCGAAATTCCCTGTAGATGATATGGACACACCTGATGATGACCGGAGACTACTACGGCCGAAACGCTTCAAAACACCAGTAAAGAGGAGTACAATAACCTGCATCTAAATAATGTAAATAATGATAAATCCTCATCCCAGAAATTCAGACGAAAACATTTATATTCAGTATATGTGTATATTTCTGAGATGAGGTATTATGTACACTGCTTACTTAATTCGGACTATTATCCTCATCTATGTCGCCATGTTTAACACAACGTTTCAGTCGTTGTACACGCCGGCCTTCTTCAGGTGGTTGGAATATTGAACTGAACCCTTTATTTCGCTCACTGGTAGACTGTTCTAAGCATAGAAATGAATACCATATAGGAACCAGTAATAAGGAGAGCCAGGCAAAAGCGATAATAACAACAAAAATTGCTCTGGTAAAAAAACATGCAATGATAACAGCAAAATTTGCAATATGAGCACTGGTAAAAAATTGTATGCTGAAGACATTAGCTTTATAATACCCAGAAATTCATACACAGATGTCCTCAAGGACACATGGCACAGTGGATAAAGGCGTTAGTTAGATCCAATGACAGGACACAAGGAGTGTGAGTTCCATACCTGGTTAAGTCGGTGGAGAAGTTTGAGAGGGGAATTAACAGGAGATAAATGACATCCATTAAGCATGGCACGTGGAACTAGAATAGTCTACCCCAGTCAGCGAAATAAAGGGTTCAGTTCGATATTCCAACCACCTGAAGAAGGCCGGAGTGTACAACGGCCGAAACATTGTAATAAGTATGCCGACAGAGATCAGAACAATTGTCCGAATAATGTACATAGTGCACCATTTACATTATTTTACAAATACCGTTTCCATCTTCGTTTCAACTCACCATTATCTTAAATATCGTTTGAAGTTCTTAGATAAATTATTTTCCTTATTAAATTCAATTTTAATTCTATTTTATTCAATTTTGTTTTTTGTTTTTTTTTGTTACACTCTCTGAGATGAAGAATTTTCCTTATTGCTTATAGCTTACGATTATAGCCTTTGCCTATAACAGCAAATAACAGGGCAAGGGAAGTGGTGTAATGGTTAGCAAACTTGTTCTGCTAGATCATTTGCAATTGAGTAGTGTGTTCGATACGCACTTTCCGCATTTGGTCACATCTAAGCTAAGCTTAGATCTGGTTTGATGCTCCTGCTAGATATTTAAAAAAAATCTTGATACACTCCAAAGAAGAATCTGCAATGTTATTGTTTCTGAGTTGGCGTCTTGGTTTCATTTACTTTCCCATCACCCTAAGGTCGCTTCTTTGTGCCTTTTCTACGAATTATTTCATGGTAATTATTCTGATGAACTTTTCTCTACGATACCTAGACTTCATGAATTTAAGTGCAGTACTAGATTGGCGGTAAGGTCTCATCATTTAGCAGTTGAAATAGCTAGATATAACCGTAAGTTCTATGTTAACAGTTTCTTCTATCGCACTTCTTGCTTGTAGGAATCTCTTCCAGTATCAAGCTTCCCATTCAACGTTGATCTTCAAAGATTTAAATGTCATATGAATCGTTATCTACTGTCTTCTTAATTCTTGTTTTTTTTTTTTTTTTGTTTTTTTTTTCCATAATATATTTTTCTCATATTCTATAACACTCATTAACCCCTTGAATCTTAGTGAGTTTATTGCCTTGCTGGAGTGAAATGATTAAAATATTCGATAGCAGCTAACGTTGGCTAATTTGTTGTTTGGAGCAATTAATCAACATTTACAGTGAGACCATCCTGAGGGTATTAGATTCATTGTTGGCGGACATAATCTTAGAAATATGAGATATGCAAATGGAACGGTGTTGGGAGTAGACGTAGGACGGAAAATGCATTGACCCCTGCAGTAGGCAATAAAGTAAGACGAGAAGAAAGGGCAAACCATCGCCCATAAGAAGCCAGAATCTATGATTGTATGCGAGTCACAAAGTCCAAGATGGGAACTATGAATTTCGGATGATAACATGAAAAGGTACAGGATTTAAATATATGGGAATTGTCTTAACAGAAAACAGAAAATGTAACAACGAAATTCGAATGAGTATTGGAATAGCAATAGATTCATTTGAAAAGATATGTACGAAAATAAACAATCATGAAATTTTGTCAGACACAACGAAAAGAGGTCTGAACGTCGATCCAATATGAATCCTTCTATATAAGAGTAAACTTTGGACACTTTCTTCGCAGATGAAAAGAAGACTGTAGGCGGCACAGAAGTGGTCCTCCAGAAGGTTCTGAGTATATCAATGACGGATTGCGTAAGCAACTAAGCGGTTTTAATGAAGGTGGAAACAAAAACGGATACGTTTACTCAGAATCAGAAAGAGACATGTTAAATTTATTCGACAGATAATGATGTTTTGACTCTCACAGGATATACTGAAGCCACAACGACAAGGAAAGGCAAGGAGGCACACATGTTTATGCGAATGATTGCGGTGACAAAAGACACGCGTATCTAAAATCTTTGTTTTAAATAATTTTCACCCAATAAAAGGCCCAAGAGCCACTCTAGGTAGAGGGTTACTTTGTGGCGTAGTATGAGCATAAGAAAGAAAATAAGTGAAGTACGTGGGTCTATGAAGGAAAGAGAACGGCTAAATCTAGACTTGAATAGGTTAAAATTTATGGGATTGGGAAATCATAAGCGAACGAACAGACTGTGGAAGAAACAAAACTTTCAACCCCAAACAAGAAACAAGGTATAAACCTCTACTCCGGTTCAACAGACTGGGAAAAGTGTGAACCGGACGATAATTATATCTACTCCTATAGGTGGAAAAGAAAAAAATAAGTATAAAATGTCAGAGTTCAGCTAAAGTTGCTGAACATAAAGTATAATTTAGAAAGAACTGGAAAACTATTCCAAAACAGGAAACAATGTACGAACGTCTCTCCTGTTCAAAAGACTAGGAAGGAGTGTGAACCTGACGATAGGCGAACCTATCTATTTGTATTAGGAGAGGAAAAAATTGATACATTTGACTATATCTCTGAGATGAGGTATCAAGATTACTTGCATTATCTACATAACCTAGACTGTTATCATTGCAGTAATCACAACGTTTCGGCCGTTGTACGCTCCGGCTTTCTTCAGGTGATTGAAATTTTAAACTGAACCATTTATTATCTGTATATATCTCTGAGATGAGGTATTATGATTACTTGCATTATTTAAATTATCCGGACTGTTATCCTAATCTTCACTGCTATATTCACAACGTTTCGGCCGTTGTACATGTCGGCTTTTTTCAGGTGAGTGGAATTTTGAACTGAACCCTTTATTTTGTCCACCTTGGTTAGATTGTTCTTGTTCCAAGTGTCATGTCTCTTCCCGATGTCTCAGTCATTTCCCTTTAACTCAATTGTTTCACCACTACTGGTATTGAACGCTCAACAATTTGGGTCTAGTCACTGGATCTAACCAACGTCTTTATCCACTGAACCATGTGTCCTTGAGCACAAATGTGTCTGTAGTTTTGAGACTTATAAACTTAATATCTCAATAACCCTCGCGTTAAATCATTACGATCTTCTTTCGTATTAGCTTAAGGTGGCGGCTTGTTTCTCCTTTGTATTTCTTACCACAGCTGCACGGGATTGCGTACACACAGTTCTTAGTCATGTTCTTTTTTATGGGGGGGTCTTACTCGAAAGATGTGTCTGCGAAGTGTTGAACCACTTTTTAAGGTTGTCCTGATGTTATCACAGATATTTTGTATTTTCTCCGCTAATCCCTTCACATAGGGTAAGAAGACTAAAGCTGTTTTCTGGGTGATCTTGTACCCTTCTATCCCAGTTTGTCGTAGCTCCTGCCATATGCCCAGGGTTGGTGTCACGTTGCAGGTTACTTCTTATACTGGCCATTTCTTATCCGTATGCCTCTTGGTCGCGACTTATGACCGTCCTACCATCCATACAGTGTAAAGGAAGGGATCGTTCGCTGCTTACAGCATCGAGAAAAAGAAATATGTGGCGACACAAAGTAACGTAAGTAATGAGAGTAAATAAAACATTAGTGAATAATATTTCAGCCAGAGACGTTGGGATCCTAGAATTATAAGAGATAAGATGTTGTCGAGTGCCATGATCGACCATTTACTGAAAGAAAGGGTACACAGAAGAATAGTAATAGGAATCCCTTATTTAAAGAATTACTCACTAGTCGATAGAGGCTCTACCGAAGAGATATAAGAATTTAAAAAGACGCTAATCTCTTCTGGGTTTATTACACTAGAAAATGGTTTTCGAGAACAGGTTACTAATGATCCGTCAACACCCAACTGCGTCACTTTGGAGGCCCAATGTAAACAATTAGATTTTTTTTTAATATATTTTCTATGTAAATAAGTTACAACGGAAAACTGTTAGGCCGAGTAAGCCGTTTCACAGTTATTGTATCACGTCTTTAAATTTGATTCAGTTGTTTGAACAGGCAACACGATTAAAATTGATGGTCGAAAAGATGGCGCCATTTCTGTTTTAATCAAATAAGTCCCTTCCCTTTGCCGCTAACTCGGAGAAGAACTGACAGAATTTGAATATAAGAGGAAATATTAGAAGGGCTTCTCTATGGATGAGATCAATCTATCTATGATAAATGACGATTAAATTTTCTTTTTCTTTTTCTTTTTCTACTTTGTGTTGTGCCCTTCAGTATATAGGCCTCCCTAACTTCTTATTCATCGCAGGTCTTTATAATATTTATCTTCTTACCAAACACTATTTTTTCATTCATTTACATGAGCTTCCCAGGTATGTGGTTTGCTGCTTCCGATGTTCCATTAGCCTTAGATATATTCCGTGTGGGTCAAATTTATCAAGCCGTCCTTCTTAATGGCATCTAGAGATTTCATCTGTCTCTTTTTTATTCTATGTATAAGTGTCCTTTTAGTTTCCCTTTCTGAATTTGGATTATTAGCTTGTTAAGGAGCTCATTACGCTGATTTTCAAATGGAGCTCGTCCAGGGTAAGCCAATAAACTACATTCGCGTTCTGGGTAAGAGGATAAACTACATGCGACAACAAGGCCTTTGAGACAGATTTATAGAGAGTCATAGACATAAAGGCCAGAGTGGACAACGGCCGAAACGTTGTGAATATAGCAGTGAAGATGAGGATAACAGTCCGAATAATGTAAATATACAAACAGAATAAGAAATAAAAAGCAATTTCACAGAATTTTATTTCTGACAGTATTATACTGAATGCATGAAATTAGTTAGAATCAAGGAGAAACTATAATTATAAAAGACGCGTTAACTCATACATTACTGTTCTACTGTCGTTGAAACAAACGCCATCTTGTTTTAGCAACAGCAACTCAAACCGTGTGGCCAGACTCGAAATTTTAGTGACCGTCAATATATACAGACAATTATGTCATTCTTCCTCTGTTTTAATTTTAGCCATATTTTATTTGAACGCTCTTCCACGTGGAATGAACAATAATAACTCATATTATGCTTGGCCTTGTGCCAGCTGTAAAAGAAAATTTGAAATTAAATTCTCCCTAATATCACGAAAATCAATTCTCATCATTTTCTTCATTGTTCTATTCAAGGTTTTGTTTTGTTTTGTTTTTTTTCAATTGAAAGGAATAGTTAAACTATATTTCTCGAAATATTTTGTATAAATCTTGGAGAAAAATACTCAAGCATCGTTGCAGCAGTGAGTTTTGCTTAGAAAGTTTTAAAAGAGTTTGAAAAATGTGTCAACATAAAATGAATCCGCTAGCATTGTGTGAATTAAGATATGAAACAAATAAAAATTACTAAGGCGACAGCTAAAATGAAAGAAAACTTGTTTCTACGGACACAATAAAAAGTTAATTTGGTTTTAAATTAGTTTCTTTTTAATATTTATTGAAATTTGTAAAGACGATTTTAAAATCTATTTCATTTAAGTCAAGAGTGACTTCAGCTTTGAAAAAATATATTTTATTTTAAACAATGTGGCTCCTTGTTTCATCTGACAGAAGAGTACATTCAATTAAAAATGTATGTATACAACTAAAAATACCTGGAGATAAATATATAGGTATTAAATGACTATGATAGATAGATAGATAGATAGATAGATCTAAAGAGAATAGATAGATACATTTCAACAGACTATATAAATCTGAACAGACTAGATAGATAAATAGATAGATAGATCTAAACAGAATAGATAGATAGATAGATAGATAGATAGATTTAAACAGTCTAGATAGATAGGTAGATAGATATAAAGATAGATAGATCTAAACCGACTAGAAAGATAGTTAGATAGATAGATATATAGATAGAAACAGACTTGATTGGTAGATAGATAGATAGATAGATAGATAGATAGATAGATAGATAGATAGATAGATTTAAACAGAAAAGATAGATAAATCTCAACAGACTGATAGATAGATAGATAGATAGATATAGATAGATAGATAGATCGAAACAGATAGATAGATAGATGATAGATAGATAGATAGATAGATAGATAGATAGATAGATAGATAAACAATAGATAGATAGATATAGATAGATAGATAGATAGATAGATATAAAGATAGATTTAAAACTAGAAAATAAATAGAAATAGATATATAGATAGAAAGAGACTTGATTGGTAGATAGATAGATAGATAGATAGATAGATAGATAGATAGATAGATAGATAGATAGATAGATAGATCTAAACAGACTAGATAGATAGATAGATAGATAGATAGATAGATAGATAGATAGATCTAAACAGACTAGATAGATAGATAGATAGATAGATAGATAGATAGATAGATAGATAGATAGATAGAAAGAAACAGACTTCATTGATAGATAGATACGTAACAACAGAATGACAAATATATAGATAGATATCGTTAATCTGTTTTTTACGATTTATCAAAACTTTCCCGGATATATAAAGCCATTCTATATGTTTAACTCGTAATTTTTTTTAGATAATGTTTATTTAGAGATAATAATTAACCCATAGCTGGGAGGAGAAGTGATGGATTCGTAGCTCTCCCAGGGGCATTTGTGCGTAAGTAAATATTATTAACCTAACGAGAAATGGAACACGATTCTTTGATTAAAAATTCTGAGACATTATCCTTTGTATCCCCAACAAATGGAATACCCCAGTGGTCACACATCTAGGTACTATTCAGCCTCGACGTTTCTTTACTTCATGGTGATCGTACAGCGGTCGGCGTTTCACTATGCTGTGGCAGAGGGCAGATAGATTGATAGATACATAGATAGATTTGAACATCATAGTTAGATAGATAGATTTGAATATAATAGATAGATAGATAGATAGATAGATAGATAGATAGATAGCAAAAGACTAGCAGATCGATATGAACGAACTGAAAAGAGGAAGCTATTTAGCTGAAAGCTCTAGTTAGTGAACAAAGCGAAAGAATGTTACTCTTGGGTGCCAAAGAAAAGTTTCCGCCTGATTAAATTATTTCTTTTATTCCCTTCCAACCCGGCATGATTACTATTTCGTTTGGGACACGCTTATTATTATTTTCTAGATAATTTATTCTGTAAATAAGATGTCTCTGATCCGCGTTTATTAAACGGATAGAAGAAAATCTCGGCGGAACGCATATTTAAACCGGTGCGTTTAATTTACAAGATGAAAAATTTCCCACCAGCAACACTGCACCAGACCGAATTTATAATGGAGAGAAACGCGTAACAGACAACGATTGACTATCAGATTTATAACTGTCTAAGGTGGGGAGGAAGGAATGCGTTTAATCTGCCTTTATCCGCACCCTAAAATCCACTTTCTTTCTCCTGGTGACACGTATCAACGGGATATTTACAATTACTTTTTGGCGCGTGCAAATGACCTTATATGGTAAAGGGTTATACAATATATTTATTTCCTGGTTAATTCATTTATTTAATGATTTATTCCTTTATTTATTTTCATTTTTTCTTTCTTCTTTCAAATTCATTGAAACTTCGAAAATATTACATTTACTTCATCGAACATCAGTTCACTGTCTTTATCCGTTCGACTTATATCATTAAATAATTTTTGCTCTTAGACGTCTTCCGTATTTTTTGTTAGTGGACATCGCATGTTTTTTTTTTTTTTTTTTGTTGTTGTTTTTGTTTTTGTTTTGGACGTTCTCTATATTTTTTATTCTAACACGTCCTCTGGATTTTTTTTCTTTTCTTTTGGACATCGTCAATGTTTTTTATTTTTTTGTTTTTAGACGTCCTCTGTTTTTTATCGTTTTTTTGGTGGGGGGTTGGACGTCTTTTGCATTTTTTGTTATTGGACAACCTCTATTTTGTCTTGTTCTTAGACGCCTACTATTTTTTTTTTTTTTTTTTTGCTTTTGATGTCATTTTATATTTTTTGTCCTGAGACGTCTTCCGTATTTTTTGTTATTGAACATCCTCCATGTTTTTTTTTTTTTTTTTTTTTTTTAGACATTCTCTGTTTTTATTTCTTGTTTTTTTTTGTTGTTTTTGGACGTCCCCTATATTTTTTTTATTCTAAGATGTCCTCTGTCTTTTTTTTTTGTTTTTTTTATGGACATCCACTATTTTTTGTTTTTAGACCTCCTCTATATTTTTTTTTTATTTTAACACGTCCCTATATATATATACATTTTTTTTGTTTTTTTATGTCCTCTATATTTTTTATTCTTAGATGTCTTCCGTATTTTTTGTTATGGGACATCCTCTATTTTTT